TCTAATGGTGTGTGTGTGTGTGTGTGTGAGTGTGTGTGCGCGCGCGTGCTCACTCATGCGTTTTGAGTGCCCTGACCTTTATATGCATATATGGAAGCCAAGAGATTAACTTTGGCCTCTCTGTCCGCTCTCACTCTTCAAAGTTTTTGTTTTTTTTATTTGAGACAGAGTCGGGCTGGAGAGAAGGCTCACAGGTTAAGAGCACTGGTCTTTCTTCCAGAGGTCCTGAGTTCAATTCCCAGCACCCACATGATGTCTCACAACCATCTATAATGAGATCTGGTGCCCTCATGCATACAGAATACTGTATATATAATAAATACATAAATCTTAGAGAGAGAGAGAGAGAGAGAGAGAGAGAGAGTCCCTCACTGAACTGGGGCCCATTCTTTCAATCAGACTGGCTAGAAAGTCCCCCGGAATCTAACTCCTCTTTCCTAACCCTGGGATCACACACACATGCTACTTCCTCTAGCTTTTTACCTGGTTTCTGGAACTTGGGACACAGATCTTCATGTTTGTGCCATGAGCACTTTGACCCAGTGAGCCTTTTCTCCCGCCTGCCGTCCCAGTTAAAAAACAAAAGTTGAGTGGAGTTTGGTAGCGCGTGCTTTTCAGTTCCAGCACTTAGGAAGCCAATCTCTGTGAGTTTGAAGCCAACCTGGTCTACACAATGAGACCCTGCCTCAAACAAAATAAATAAACAAAACAAAAGTCACAGACTATAGGGATCCTGGGACATAGCATTCACAGGCCACACCAGGCCACCCTGAGGCCCTGGCAGGCTCACTGGTCCTGGCTTTTCCTGGACTTCTGTGCTTCACAGTTCAGAAAATTGAGCCCCAAAGAAGGGAAGAAACTTGCAGGGTGGAGTGGCCATTTGCTGCCAACCTCCCCTCCCTAAACCGTATCTCCTTGCTTCTTGCATGCCTGAAATGCTCCAGCCAAGAGGAACCCCTTTCTCTCTGTAGGGCTCATTGCTTTCTGGGAGGCCTTTGCTCTCTGTCACATTCTACCCATCTTGGGACAGTAAAATGTCCCTGTGTTTATTGTTGTCGTTCCTTTGCTGGGTTCACCAAACACATGAGAGCCGGGCCCTTGCTCCCTTGTATTTTTTTGTTTTGTTTTGTTTTGTTTTGTGATGACAGGGTCTCACTATGTAGACCAGACTGACTGCCTGCCTCTGCTTCCTGAGAGCTGGGATGAAAGGCATGTCCCACTATGTCCAGCTCTCTCTCTACTTCTAAATATTAAAATTGCTGGTATATATATATTTTTTTTCTTAAAAGAGTCACAAACACCATTGTTAAACGACTATTTTTACCGTCAATACAGCTGCCTTTGAAAATTTTTGGTCACTGTGAAAATATGAGGTTTTTTTTTTTTTTTTTTTTTTTTTTTTTGGAGGGGGTTATGTTGAAAGAGTTGAGACAGGTCTCACACAGCCTAGGCTGACTCTGAATTGTCAGGTGGCTGAAGATGAGTTCGAATTCCCCGTCTTCTTGCCTTATTCTAAGTGCTGAGATCACAGACAGGCACCACTATGCCCAGCCTGAAACTGTTTTTATTTTGTTTTGGTTTATTGCGTTTTACTTTATTATTATTTATTTCTTTGGTTTTGTGAGACAGGGTTTCTCTGTGTAGCTTTGGCCATCCTGGACTCACTTTGTAGACCAGGCTAGCCTCAAACTCACAGAGATCCACCTGCCTCTGTCTCCCTAGTGATAGGATTAAAGATGTGTGCCAAATTTTTTAATTTTAAAAATTTATTTATTTATTTATTTATCTGAGGCAGGATTTCTCTGTAGCCTTGGCTGTCCTGGTGCTTGCTCTGTAGACCAAACTGGCCTCGAACTCACAGAGATCCTTCTGCCTCTGTCTCCTGAGTCCTGGGATTAAAGGTTTGTACCACCACTGCCCGGCTATTTTTTTAGTGTGTGTAGGTGTGTGTGGGTATGTGTAGGTGTGTGTATGTGTGTGCCATGCACATACTACAGTATACTTGTAATAGTCAGAGGTCAGCTTGCCTGGAGTCTGTTCTCTCCTTCCATCCATTTGAGACCTAAGAATCAAATTAGATTGTTAGGCTTGGCAAGTGCCTGCACCTCTGAGCTATCTTCCCAGCCCCTTGAAAGTATGTTTTAACCTGAACTTTTTTTTTTTTTTTTTTTTAAGATTTATTATGTTCATAAAAGTGCTTGGCCTGAACCCATGTCTGTGCCCAACATGTTTGCCTGGTGCCTGAGGAAGTGGTGAGCCTTCATGTGGGTGCTGGGACTTACTTGAACCTGGGTCCTTCAGAAGCATAGAACAAGTGTTCTTAACTACTGAAACGACTCTCCAGCCCTTCACCTGGCCTTTTAAATCCATAATATGTTGTATAAGATGGCAATTAAAGGACTAATCTGGTCATCTCCTGACCCCGATAGTTCTATGGTGGTGGATTCTTCGTGTGGGAAGAATGGGGCAGAAGGGCTTGAGTGTGTAGCCGATCTGCTCAGACACGGGGCAATCATGGCTGTAGGCCTAGAGCCATTCTCCAAGCTTCTCCTCACAACTCTGAGATGCTGGCTTTATCCTCCATCCCGGCCACAGACCAGAAGGCAGAGGCTCTGAGAGCTTTGGTGGCTCACGGGGAGAGCCTTTGTTTGGAGAGGGGTGGAGGTAGACCTGTTTGGAGAGGAGTAAAGGAGGCTGGGGCAAAACTGTGAGACATCTGTGGGGATGTTTACAGCTGACAGAGGAGGTGCTATACAAGTCTGGTTGGTGGCTTCCGGTGTCTAGATGAGGCTAGACTCACCAGGAATCTGCATTATCAGCTGACCTTGTCCAGACTGGCCTCAAACACAGGATCGTCCCGCCTCAGCCTCTTGAGTATTAGGATGGCAAGTGTGTGCTCACTTCCACACAGCTGGGCTTCACCCTGTCTTTCCTTTTGTGTGCATATGTGCGGTGCACATTTGTGGCTACATTCGCATGTGAGCGCATGCCTGTGGAAGCCAGAGGTTGATACTGGGTATCTTCCTTGTTGGATTTGCTCCCCAGTCACTGAGACAGGATCACCTGTGGAACCTGGAGCTTCTTGATTCAGCTAATCCAGCTAGCCAGCTTGCCCAGGGATCTTGTCTCTGCAGGCAGGCTAGGCCTGCTAGACTTCTATTGTGGGTGCTGGGGTGTCCAAACTCTAGTTTCTGGCAAATGCTTTAACCACTGGGCATCTCCTCAGCCCTTTTTGTCTTTATTTATTTTTTTTAAAATTTATTTTAAAAGATTTATTTATTTATTACATATACAATGTTCTGTCTGCATGTGTGCCTACACGACAGAAGAGGGCACCAAGATCTCATTAGAGATGGTTGTGAGCCACCATGTGGTTGCTGGGAATTTGAACTCAGGACCTCTGGGAGAGCAAACAGTGCTCTTAACAGCTGAACCATCTCTCCAGCCCCTTGTTTTTATTTTTTATTTATTTTTAAGACAGGGTCTCATATAGCCCAAGGTAAATTTGGATTTCCTGTGTAACTGGAATGGCCTTGAACTCCTGAGCCTCTTGTTCTATCTCCCAAGAACTATGCCGCTCACTTGCTCGCTCGCTCGCTCGCTTCAGCTGCCTTTTCTGTTTGTAGGGAGGTTGAAATAAAGTCTCAACTTGCATCCTGGGATGGCAGTCTGCTTTCAATGACCCTCCTGTCTCTGTCTTCCCAAGTGCCGGGATTACAGGCATATGCCACCAACACTAGCTTCATCTACTCATTTGTGTCTTGCTCTGTAACCCGTTTACTGCAGCTACTACAGCTGGGCCATTTACTTTCTTCTAATTAGGGTCTTGCTCGGTGGCCCAGGCTGGCCCGGAATTCCCAGCCATCCTCCCGTGTCAGCCTCTTGAGGACTGGGATCACAGTCATTATCCACCACCATTTACTTCCTTGCTCCATACAGTCCCCTGAGTTACCTGCTGTGGAGTTCTCAGACCCTCACCTGGGCATCTCTTACCGTCCTCCCGGCTGGGACTGAGGGAGGCAGTGCTCAGCAAGTTATTAGCCAAGTTGACTCATTATCATTTCCCTTTGCTAGTGGGGTTAACATCCTATCAGGCAGGGCAACTTCGAGAAGCAGAAAGTCTGTGCATTGCCTGTGCGGATGCCCTGATGGCCATATCTGTGTCCTCTGGAGGGAAGTCTCTCCACCCCACTTCCTCTTTTGTGTGTGTGTGTGTGTGTGTGTGTGTGTGTGTGTTTAAACAGGGCTCGCTACGTAGCCTTAGCTAGCCTGTGACACACTTTGTAGACCCTAGCGGCTACGAAAGCAGAAAGCTGCCTACCTCTGCCTCCTGAGTGCTGGAATTAAACGGGTGCACCACTCTGCCAAGCTTGGAAGGAACTCTTTTTTTAGGTTTCCCGAGATAGCGGGAGCAAACTTTTTGCATAAGAAGAGAATTCTGGGTGTGAATGTTTGGTTGTTTGCACCTCTGCACCACAGGCGTTTATGGTTCCCACGAAGGCCAGAAGAGGGCGTCGGATCCCCCCAGACTGGAGTCACAGACAGTGGTGAACCGCCTTGTGGGTGCTTGGAATGGAATCCGGGACCTCTGGGAAAGCAGCAATCTCTCTAGGTCCGAGAAAACTTTCTGAAAGTCCCACCTTATCTGAATTCTCAATCAGGCACGGCAACGTTCCTGGGTGCTAGGAGAGCCACAGCAGCCCGGTCCGCCTAAGGAAGTCCTGCAGACCCGGACCTCTGGGCGGCTCCCGGGCAGTGACCCACGCTGGCCTCTCTGCGGCTTAAGTAGGCGCTCCTGGTTTGACTGACAGGGGAGGCCGCTAATGCTCGCCTAGGGTAGTTCCCCCGAGTGCGCTGGGCGGGGGGCGTGCCGCCTCCGCCCTGTCCCGTCCAATCCAGAGCGCCAAAGGGGCTGAAGGGCGGGGTCTGGAGCCCGGCAACCAATAGGACGACCACAGCGGGCGCGGCGGGGGCGGCGCGGTCTGGGCTGGCGGCAGAAGCGGCCGCGGCGGGTCTGGGCAGGGCCGGGGAAGGCGGCCGGAGCGGAACGGGAAGGGGTCAGAGTCGCAGCCCGGCCGGGGCGGCGTGAAGCAGCGGGAACCGAGGCGAGCGGCGGCCGAGGTGAGGGGGACGCGGCGACGGTTGGGACCGGGGGGTCTGTGGCCGCGCCTACCCCTGTCAGGGCCGCGCCGGGGCGGAGCGCGCGGGGCCGCGCCGCTCGAAACTTCTAGCCCGCGCGCGAGGGGCCACGCGCCGGCGGGCGGAGCCGGGGAGGCCCGAGGGGCGGCCGGAGCGGGCGGGACCCCACGCGGACGCGCTCGCGGGCCACTTTGCCGACTGCCTTCCATTTCCGTCTCTCCCACCGCTCGGTGCCCGCGGTGGCGAGAGCCCAGCCTGCCCGGTGAGCGTGACCTAGGGGTGCGTGGCGGGGACAGGAAAGGCTGGGTCCTGCCCTTTTGACTTTCATAGTTTGCTAGACTCACGGGATCCCAAGTGTCAACTCCCTCTCGCCTCCCGCGGGGCTCCGGAGCCGCGTTCTTCTCTCCCTAAAGAGAGAAGAACCCCGGGCTTGCGGGGGGTCCCCCCTTTTCTGAGACGGTCGTTTTTGTTTTTTTGTTTTTTATTTTTTTATTTTCCAGAAGTGGAGCGGAGGAGCTGGATGGGAACCTCTCGGCCTTAGAGGTTCGGACCTAGAAGTAGACACGCCCCAGGGATGCTGCGTTCTTGTTGGGTGCCCTAGGGGAGATGGCCTTGGTCCGGGGTGCGCACATTTCTGGCCCTCGCCGCCGTCCTTCCTTGACCGCAGCTGTCCTGAGGTTTTGTGATGAAGGGGAGTAGGTTGCTGACAGTCTCCAGGGCTACTCATTACGCGGTTTAACCAAAACACTCCTGCTCTGCCCTGATGTAAATCTGTTTAATCCTGAGTTGTGGACGGTGAGCTCACACCTCCTCCCCTCCTCACCCTACCTCCCCCTGTACGGGTTTTTCAGTTTGCTTAAATTCTGTTCTTGGGCCCCTGGCAAAGGGGTCAGCCAGGTGGGCTGTGTTCTGTGTTTACCTTCCTTTTCCGACGCAGGGCGTTCAGAGTCACCTTTTCACAGAAGCACTGAATGGGCGGCCGTGTAGGTGGGATTCTCTTGACTTCCCTGGAACGCCTTGCTCTGTGCGTTTACACTTTACTCTAGAGTTTGACAGTCTCCTTGGTGAAGCTATTCTTCTTGAGCCATGAGGCCACTACTTGAAAAACTTGTATGATGGTTTTTTTGTTTTTTTTTTCCCCTGTAGTCTGGAGGCTTTAAAGAAATTGGCCATTAGGCTGATGAGTTTTTATTATTTGGGAAAGTAACTGACACAGAATAACAGACTGGTTATGTCTGTTCTCTGCAGGATTTTTAAAGAATAGCAACTCTGGAATAGAAATGGTATTTTAGTTCATGCTGTTATGGGAGCTAGAGCTTGTTACTTTTCAACATAATATTGAACCTACAAAGTGTGTGTATGTAAGAAACATATCTGGGTTTTTATGCTGCCCGGTAGAGAGAAGTGAGATTGGGTTTCTCCCAGTTCTGAGTGCCAGTACAGACTTATGATGGCCAGGTATTTCTGGGCGGAGCACAGGAGCACTTGCCCTTAGTTTTGTAAGTTTTTGTTTGTTTGTTTTGGTTTGTGTTTTGGACACAGGGTTTCATTTTGTAGACCAGGCTGGCTGGGAACTCACAGAGATCTGCCTGCCCCTGCCTCCTGAGTGCTGAGAGTAAAGGCCTGTAACAACCATACCTGGCCACCCTTACTCTTTTTTATTCTTTTCTCTTTCCTGAAAGTCCATGCTGATGGGTTAAGGCCTGATTGTTAAGCAAGAAGGCTTGCTGCTTCTGAAAGAGGTCATCATGCCTTTGCAGGATGTTATGGAATATCAAATAATAGTAGTAAAATTATTAGCTATCGTGGCACCTTGTGAAGCGTACGCAAGTTCTTTCTGCCAACCTCACGTGAAAGCTCCCAGCTGACTTGGCCTGCCTTATCTGCCATCCCACTGTACTCGGCTTCCTGGAGGCCAGCCTTTCGATTATGGAGTTAATGACCATGTTCACATGTGCTGGAGTGCCTGCTCAGTTTTTTTCCAGTTGTTTGGAATCACAGCTGCATACCTGAAGGCAGTAGAGGGGGCAGGGCTTAGATACTTAGTCAGTTTGCATACTAGGGGCAGAGTCCTTAATGCCATGGCACAATCTCCTCACGCCCGAAAGCCGACCTGAGAGCATGGTCTAAATGGGCCTTAAATTGTTCCTGATGGCTCTCAGCGGCAGTTGGTGGTCTCTGGGATAGCTGCTTGGGCATTTTTTCCGATGTTTAATATTCAGATGGTTGTACTGTCTGCTGACTAGAGACCATCTTAGAATAGGTCACCTGGGGCTGGGAGATAGCTCAGTCAGTATAGCACCCAATGTTTAAACCTCCTTAGGTTCCTGAGTTCGAACCCCCCGCAAAAAAATAAGGTGAGCTGGGGTAGTGGGGGAGACAGCTCAGTAGCTAAGAGCATTTGTTACTGTCACCGAGAACCTGGGTTTGATCCCCAGCACCCACGTGGTACCACAACCACCTGTAACTCCAGTCCCAGGGGATCTTAGACCCCCTGCTAACTTGTGAGGACACCAGAATGTCCATGGTGCACATACATACATGCAGGCAAGCATTCGTAATCTTTGGAAACAAGAAGAAACCTTATCAAATATAAATTGGACAGTGGTCAAGGGTTGTACTGACATCAGCGTCTGGCCTGTGTTTGCACACTTGGATCCACACAGAGTGGTTCTCCCGCTGAGTGCTTGCCTGAAATCCTACCCTTTGGGAGGCTGAGGCAGGGAAGTCTCTAGTCTGAGGTCAGGTTTGGGCTGTGTAGCAAGACCCTATCTCAGCAGAAGATAGTTCTCCAAGTATTCTGCACAAGCAGACATTTTTTTAGCATTTGTGTGGTCACTAAGTACTTGAGAGACAGCTGTCAAGCCCAGAGCATGAAGGTTGTCTTTCTGTAAAGGGTATTGATTTACTCCATGCGTGCATGCGTGCGTGGGTGTGTGTGCGCACATGTAAGTATGTGCTTGCTGTGGTCTGCATGTGGAGATTAGAGGACAACTTTCAGGAGCTGTTTCTCTCTTTCCACTTTGTGGCCAGCAGGGAAGGAACTCAAATTGTCAGGCTTGGCAGCAAGTGCCTTTACCTGCTGAGCCGTATCTCTCTGTTCAGATTCTTTTTATTTTTATTTTTTGGACAGTGTTTTTCTGTGCAACCCTGACTGTCCTGGAACTCAGACCAGGCTGGCCCCAAACTCAGAGAGCCGCCTGCCTCTGCCTTCTGAGGGTTGGAATTGAAGGCATACCCCAGCACCACCGGCTTTTGACTAGATTTTTAAATTTTATTAAAAAAAAATACTTTTACCTTTTAAAAAGAGAATATATTTTTTAACATTCATTTAGTGTGTGCATGTGTGTGCCACAGTGTGCACGCAGGGGTCAGAGGACGCCTGTAGGAGTCAGTTCTTACCAGTTTTCTCCTTCTACCTTGTGGGTTCTGGGGATTGAACTCAGGTTGTAAGGCTTGCCTTCTGAGCCATTCTGTTGCCCTTCCTCCCACAGTGCCTGAGGTTGGAACTCAGTGTGCTCCACGATAGGCAAGCAGTCTACCACTAAGCTACGCTTCCAGCGCATTTAAAAAATTTCAGTCTTAAAAGTATTCACACATTCTTGAGTCTAGCAATGAGCTAGATAGAGAAGGAAATACAGCAGTGTGCATAGTGCTAACTCCACTCTCAGAGTCCTCAGCAGACACCTTAGAAGGAGCCTTGCCGGAACACTGAGGCAGGATCTCATCTGGAACTCACTGTGTGGCTGTCCTTGGCCTCAGAATCAAGGCAAAGTTCCTGCCTCAGCACTCCAAGTGCTGACATTTCAGGCTTGAGCATTATATCTGGCTTTAGTGTAATTTTACTCCCTTCCTAGAATACCAGATGACAGGACAGTGGGAGATGGATGGGGACCAGGCGACCTTCCCTCCACCAACTCTGAGGCTAGGATGTGCAGATCACAGTGTCTCGGTTTTCATATTTGTAAAATATGAAATTTTTTATTTAATGTATTTAGAAATTCTTATTTAATGTATATGAGTACTCTGTCTGCGTGTACGCCTGCATGCCAGAAGAGGGCATCAGACCCTAGTATACATGGCTATGAGCCACCACATAGTTGCTGGGAATTGAACTCAGGACCTCTGGAAAAGCAGACACTGCTCTTAACTTCTCAGCCATCTCTCCAGCCTGGCTTAGAAGTTCCTAACCTTGAGAACAGCTGTGAGACATCTCCGCCTCCACTACAGGAAAGAAAGTCCACATGTGAACAACTTGGGGCCAGCATTCAGGGTAAGGACTGCCACACTCCATCCGTAAGCTGTCTCCCTCTTGATGTGGTAGGGTGCTGAGCGCAGCCTTCCTAAGCTGCCTGCCTCTCGCCTCAGAGAATCTGTAATCCTATTTCCCGTGTCATATTGGAGCTAATAATAATGGTGACATACATATATGGAGGACACACATTCTGAAGTGCTTTCACCTCGTATTTTGTACTCAAACATTTGAGTAACAAGGCCAGATGGCCTTCCTGGGTACAGAACATGGGGTTTTTCCATTAGGTTCTGCTGCCTTGGTGGTTGTCAGGATAATTTGTTGGCATCGTAAAGATGTGTTAATATCACTTGTAGAAGAAGATTTGTTTGTCCACTAAAGGACTGTTTTTCTTTTGGAATTTGAATCCTTAAACACCTTTTTGTCCTGACCGTGAAGACCTTACTTTATTTTATTTTTTAATGTTTTGTTCTTTATCTTTTATTTGATGTAAATGGCTGTTCTGCCCACATGTGTGTCTGTATACAGTGTGTGTGTTGGATCCCCAGGGACCTGAGTTGCAGACAGTTGTGAGCAGTCATGTGGGTGTGGGAATGAACCCAGGCCTACCCTTGCACTCTTACTTGTGAGCTGTCTCTGGTTCACTTGTTTTTGTTTTTTTGCAACCCTTTTCAGAGGGGAAAATTTGTAGGATTTGAGTGTTTGGGCAGACTTATTTAATGTTTATTGATTACAGAGTATGTTTAAATTCTCAGTTGCTTAGCACTTGAGAAATCTGTGAAGTAAATAAAAGTTAAGTAGAAACTAGAAATTGAGTCAGACCTGATGGTGCACGCCTTTAAATCCCAACACTGGGGAGGCAGAGGCAGGCAGATCCCTGTGAGTTGGATGCCAACCTGGTCTACATAGTAAGTTTCAGGATAACCAGGGCTACCCAGCTATAAGACAAGACCCTATCTTGAAACAGAAAATCCCAAATCATGGAATTGGCTTATTCAAGTATGTCCTCATTGATGAGGTGCTCCCTGTACCAGAATCCTGGGTAGTTTGAGGTTGGGTATGAATTGTGTTGGTGACTGTCATAAGGTAACGTAGGAAAGAAAGGGTTAGAGTCCATGATGCCACAGCAAAGACATGGAGGCAGGAAGAGCTGAGAGCTCACTTCGTGATCAGAAAGGAGGTGGCAGAGAGAGAGAGAGCGCACTGGGAATGGCATGGGCTTGTGAAAGCTCAAAGCTCTCTCCTGGTGGCTCACCTCTTCCTGTAAGGCCACATCTCCTAACTCTTCCTAAGCAGTTCCATAAACTGGGGACCAAGCATTCAAGCATACCAGTCTGGGGGTGCCATTCTAATTCAGATGACTACAGTGACCATGAGCGCCCAACAATGGCTTCTTGTGACCGTGCCAGGTTTCAGTTGCTTTATGGATTGTTTATTAGTAGCATAGAGTCTCAGTTGTATAAAGAGCAAGTGTTTAAGAAAGGACAAGACACTTAAAAAGTGCACAGGTTAGATGGCTTTTTTTTTCCTTAATTTTTTTTCATCACTCTGTGTACATGGGCACAAGTGCTTTTACATGCCAACCATCTATGGTGTTTTGAATAAAAATGGCCCCCATAGGCTCATGTATTTGAATACTTAGTCATCAGGGAGTTGGCACTATTCGAGAAGGCTTAGAAGGTGTTGTTAGAGTAGGTGTGGCCTTGTTGGAGGAGTGTGTCACTGGGAGTGGGGTTTTGAGGTTTCAAAAGCTCACGCCAGGGCCATTATCAGGCTCTGCTTGTGGATCAGGATGTAGCTCTCAGCTACTTCTCCAGCATAATATCTGCCACTGTGCTCCCTGCCTCCACGTGTCCTGCTGTGATGATAATAGACTAAGCCTCTGAAGCTGTAAACAAGTCCCCAATTAAATGCTGCTTTGGTAATGGTGTCTCTTCACAGCAATAGAACACTGACTAAGACATCATTTCATTGGCTTATTTTTGGTTTATTTCTGATGAAAATAATAAACCTGGTCAGTTATGTTGGTTATCAGGCATTGGAATGTATAGAACTGCATAGAATAGGGTACCCCTCAAACATGGTGGTGTGGAGGAGTCCCCTCTCTTCCTATCATGTCATTCTGATGCTTGTCAGGAGGCAGCCAACCACAGTTCATGGTTGTGACATGGAAAAAGTGTCCTTGTCTTAGACTGGAGAGATGGCTCAGTGGTTAATAATACTGGCTGCTCTTTAAGAGAACTAGGGTTCAGTTCCCAGTACCCATATGGTGGCTAACAAACCTCTTGTTAACTCCAGTTGCAGGGGATTTGATGCTCTCTTCTGACCTCAGTGAGTACTGCATTCATATGGTACATGGACATACACATGCAGGCAAAATACCCATACACATAAGGTAAAATTATATAACATGTGTACATACATACATACATACATGGTATCTGTTCATTTCAGGTGTGTTCTTTAAATACTGGAGAGGACAGAGCAATGGCAAACAACTCTGCTATATGAAGTGTCACGTTTCAGCCTCTCCAGTGAAGGATTTACCTTGCAGAGAAAGTTGGTAGAAGTTAATGGCGAATAGTCAGCTCTGAAATGGTAAGCAATAGAAAATTATTGAAAGTAGAAGCCTGGTGAAGCAGTGAGACCAGCTGACTGGAGACCGGAAACGGCCTGTGAGAACCAGGCTGTTCTCCTGTGGCAGGGTGTAGAATGCATGAGTGCAGCTGCCTCGCACCTTCACTGACTGCCAGCATCCACAGTGGCTTACCCGCACCAGGAACTGACAAAGTACATTGGTTCTTTCCTTCCATTGGCTTCCTGTCTGCTCCTTAGATACTGGTAGGAGCAGCGTTGTCAGAGGGGGCTGGGGAATTTCACTGAGCTGCTGTGGAATTGCATGAATTCTGTTTTACTTAGTTTCCTTTATTTTAAAATTATGTGTGTATGTGTTTGTATGTGTTCATGTGTATATGTTGTGTGAGTGACTGCAGAGGCCAGAAGAGGACATTTGATTTCCAGACGCTGGTGGGATTAGTGGTTGTGAGCCACCCAACGTGGGTGCTGGAAACTGTTTGTGGGCCCTCTGGAGGAGCAGTACATGCTCTTAACTGCTAAACTGTCTTTTGACTCTTTGTTTTATTCATTCATTCATCTATCCATCCATATTTATTTATTTGTCCATCTATTTATTTATCTAGTTTTGATCTTCTGAGGCAGGGTCTCTATGTAGGCCTGGTTGTCCTGGAACTTGCTATGTAGACCATACTAGTCTAAAGCTCACAGAAAGCTGTCTGCCTCTGTCTCTGGAGTGCTGGGATTAAAGGTGTGTTTCCCCATGCCCAGTCCTCTCTGTTTTTAATATATATGTGTTTGTGTGTGTGTGTGTGTGTGTGTGTGTGTGTGTGTGTGTGTGTGTGTGAAAGAGAGAGAGAGATTTCCTGTAGACAAGCACTTGTTGGGGTCTGAGACAATTCATGGGAACTTGTTTTTTCTGTTACCTAGTGGAATCCAGGGCTCAAATTCAGGCTGTCAGGCCTGCATTTGAGTACCTTTATGCTGAACCATCTTAATAGTCCAGTTCTTTCGTCTTGCTTTGTTTTTAATATTTTATGTGTGAGTGTTTTGCTTGACTAGTCAATGTGGGTGCCTTTGGTCCCAGTACTCAGGAAGTGGAGGCAGGCTGATCTCTCTGAGTTTGAGGCCAGCCTGGTCTACAGAGGTAGTTCCAGAATGGCCAGGGCTACACAAAGAAACTCTGTCTCTCAAAAAACAAAAAAACAAAAAACAAAAAAGTATGTGATGTGTGTTGCGGAGGTAGGGCTGTTGAGTGTAGAGGGAGTGAAGACTGGGTGGGCAGCTTCAGAATGAGCTCCTTGTTGGCTAAAGCTGGGGTCTAGACTCTCCTCTGGAGAAGGAATTCCGTGGGGAACCTTCCAGGGTATGAGCAGGATGATCTTGGCAGGAGTAAGAGTCAGTTGAGAAGTCGGGGATGTGGATGGGAGAGGTGTGATCTGGTTGCTCCTTTTCACGGGGACCACCAGTGTTCTCCAAGGTTTGAGGCTTGCTTTTGGCTCTTCCTAGGAATCACTAGCTAAAATTTGCAAGAAAGGGTCTTACAGGGAAGGCTGGCCTCAGTCACTGATTCAGCTCCATTGTCTAAATGTTCACTAATGCTGTTGGAGGGGGGGTATTGTCGTATACCCTGTGTCCTGTTTTTGCTTTGTTTGGCTTATTTTCACAATTCTGTAAGGCTAGTTCCTGCAGAAGAGAAAAGGCAGTACTGTAGTAACAAAGCGGAGATCAGAAGCGTGTGTTTGGAGCCAGACAGCCCTGGTTTAGGTCCCAGGTCTACCACCAGGTGATTGCGCATCCATGCTGCCTGGTCTAATGGGTCAACATTTCTAAGACTAGGTGTCTTATTTTTTTTTAAAGATTTGTTTTTTAACTTATTTAATTTTTTATGTTATATGCATTGGTGTGAGGGTATCAGATCTCTTAGAACTGGAGTTACAGACAGTTGTGAGCTGCATGTGGGTGCTGGGAATTGAACCCATGTCCTTCGGAAGAGCAGACAGTACTCTTAACCACTGAGCCAGCTCTCCAGCTCCAGAAAAGTGATCTTTTTTTTCTCTATTTTCTTTTTTTAAAAAAATTTTTATTTTATGTGCATTAGTGTGAAGGTGTGCATTATAGACAGTTGTGAGCTGTCATGTGGATGCTGGGAATTGAACCCAGGTCCTTTGGAAGAGCAGACAGTGCTCTTAACCACTGAGCCAGCTCTCCAGCCCCTAAAGATTTGTTTTATTTATATTTTTATTTTATGTACATTGGTGTTTTGCCTGCATGTGTGTCTGTGTGAGGGTGTCGGATCTCCTGGAACTGGAGTTACAGACAGTTGTGAGCTGCCATGTGGGTGCTGGGAATTAAATCAGGGTCTTCTGGAAGAGAAGCTAGCATCCTTAACCATTAAGCCATCTCTCCAGCCTGAGACTAGGTGTCTTATTTTTGAACTGCAACATAGTGCTCTGGGCATTTGCTTACAAAGAACAGAAATCTTATTCCTCAAAGTCAGGAGTCTGGAAGCCTGAGGTGAGGGTGCAGGAGTATTGAGTTCTCTTCTGAGTTACAGATCCACTTCTGATTGTGTGTGTATACAGCCGAAAGAGGTTAAGGGAGCTCTCTGACCTTCTTAAGGAGTACCACTAATCTCTTTCTTGGGGGCTTCATCCCCTTGACCCAATTAGGTATCATGATGTTGACACTAGGATTTAAGTTTGGGAATTTGGAGTGGATCCCTTCCTCTGGGGTGTGCTATGTGCTGTGCATTCTTGGACCTAGAGCACAGTCTATAGTAGTTATTTTGTGTCACTCAGCATGATAATTAGGCGAATTTGTAAATTAAGCAAAACCCTAAAGTACTCATACTGGATCGATTTTATCCAGTTCTTTCAGAAGTTTTTCACAAACATGTTCTTTCCTCAGCCAGAGTACTTGTTAGGACCTTCTGTGGTGACTCAGGGTCAAAGGGGTATTCTCAGAGGACCCAGTGTGGGTGAGGCCTTAAGCCCTTTGTGCATAAGTCTTCTTGCAACACTGAGGTTTTGCTTGCTTCTGTCCTTATTGTGGGGGTGAGACTAAGAATTTGTGCATCCTATTTGTGTGTGGTGTTGCACGGCTTTAATCCCAGCAGTCAGGAGGCAGAGGCAGGTGGATCTCCTGAGTTGGAGGCCAGCCTGGTCTACAGAGTTCCAGTCTTGACACAAAGAATGGGTGCATCCTGCTTGTGTTTGAGGGCAGTCCTGCCCTGCCTCCTGGCTTGCTGATGCTCTGCTTGAAGTTAAAGTGACAGTCATGCCGACCTGTCCCTGTGGTGAGGAAATGTTGCTGTGGCTGCACCTAGTGCTCAGAGGGGGAAAGGAGCATGTGATGGGGAAAAGGACTTGAGAACATTAGGATCAAGTTGTGTGCACAGGGATCCAGGGGACAGTAGGGATACCTGCACACATAGCAGCGACAGCTCAAACTGGGGAATTTCTGATCTATATTCTTACCCTTCCCCATTTAGAATTAATGTTTAAGTTTTAACTGGCTATATAACTAAGGTGTGTATCGATACAACTTGGCTGTGCAGGTATTCGTAGTTGACCATGAACGTTCCCATAGCTTTTATTTTGTTTTCATAACAGCTTTGTTGTTTGTTTCCCTTGTTCTTGGTTCAGAAGGAAGAGAAAAAGAGATAGAATTGGAAGGGTCAGTGGCTTTCCAGAGGCCACTGATCTCGACCCCACATGAGGGATAGGCAGTCACAGGGCCTGCTGTCTAAAATCAGCTGTGGCTGGTTTTCTAAGTTGTCTCTTGAATGAAGTGAAAATTTATTTTTTTTAAATGTTGCTCAAATTGTAGTTTGTGAACATTTTCATACTTCAAACTATGTTGGTGTTTCATTATATTAAATTATGTTGTCTCTAGCTGAGAGTGCCAAGAGCGTGAATTGTGGTCAGGCTCTCTTCCCACACAGACCTCCAAGCCCGCTATTAGTGGATTTTGTAGCTCACTGATTTGCTGAAGCTGGCTTGCTTGGGCACCAGTTAGCTTGAATATGATGTTGTTTTTAATTAAGCACTTGTGACCTCTGTACCAGCAAATATATCATCAGATAAGGAGGCTGGGCTTGTGCCATGGGGAGATTGGCATGGCTGGTGGTAGAACCAGTGGTCATGGGGCACACTGTGTTCTGGATTTTCTGAGAGATCGTGGACGGTTCACATTTCTGCCCATTGAGTTCTTATAACCAGTCGGTGTTAACTCCACTTTGTTTAGGCATACTCAGCCCAAGGTCAGAGAAGTGACCTTCAGAGGCTGACGGCCGTACCAGTGTCCGCTTATCTTGTCACCTTGAGTAAGTAGATTGAGTCACTTGCTCTTAACTATAAAAAAGATCTTAAAATTTTCCTTTTTCCTCTCTGCTTCCTTCTGAGAAACATAGAAATGGTTCAAATTATGTGTCCTTTGTTTAAGGTAGGAGCTAAGTTCACAACTAACCCAATTAAGAGACTGAATATTTGTGGTTTACATCGCCGAGTTTATAAGGGTAGGAAGGGAGCTGCCATAAGCTGTCTGGCTGGAGTGTTGTCAGAGGACTTCAGTCATCACCCATATGCTTCTCTCCTAGCTGAAGAGGTCAGAGGGTGGAGGAGCAGGGCTCTCAGAGTTCCAGAGGCCTGGTGGGTCTGTTGCTCCGTCATCCAAGTGGCCTTAAGGAGGCAGCTGAGGGAAGGTACCTGAGAGAGATGTTCTGATTATTTGTGTATGTGTTTTTTTTTTAGACACAAGGTTTCACTGTGTAGCCCAGGTTGGCCTCAGACTACAGATTCTGCTGCTTAGCCCCCAATGCTGGGGTGACCAACCTGTGACATCAGACCTGGCTCAGATACTTGTTTTGTTTTTTTAAATATTTTTTTATTATTATTAATTAGATACTTGGTTTTTATACTTGTGCTAATTACAGTTACCATTTTTATGCCATTTGACTTAATATAAAAATTTGTATTCCCTACCCCTGTACATATGTTTGCTCCCCTGCATACATACACAGA